ACCACATGCCAGCCAGCCCCGCCCCCTGGTGGGCTGAGCTGGCCACACACACAAAATAAATAAATGAATGAATGAATGAATAAATAAATAAATCTTAAAAAAAAAAAAAAGGGAAAGGGAGGTTGTTGGAAAAAAAAAAAAAGATAGGCCCTCACAATGCAGCTCTGACTGACCTTGAACTCGCTATGTATCCCATACTGACCTTGAACTCAACAGTGAGCCTCCTGCTTCAGTCTCCCAAGAGTTAGAATTGTAGACATGTACCATCACACCTGGCTTTTGTTGATTTTCATTTTATTTTATTTCATTTGCGGTACTGTGGATTGAACTCAGGACCCTGCGCTTGCCAGGCAAGCACTTATGCTACTGAGCTATCATTTTAAAAATAATTTGGGGGTTATATCTAACCCAGATTTATACTGGAAATCATTTTACTAGAAATGTTAGTAGGAGCAATTCAGTGGATAGCACCTTGTCTACAATTCTTAGTCATGGTGAATTTTACATAACAGGGGGCCTGCCCCTTAGCTCAGTTCTTTAAGTGGCTGCTTCCCCAAAGCAGTCAAGCTCAGGTTGCTGTGGTTCGATCCCCACAACTCAAACCAGCCAAACCTGCCCTGAAGGCATTCGCGGAGCAAAAAAAAAATTACATAACTGCCTTAACAAATATCTGGAGGAATGTCATCAAATGGCTATAAAATGTGGGCAGAATCAGATGTTCCCTTCGTATTTCTCGGCTCACTATCACCGCCTTATTTTGCCCCCATTTCTCTAGGAACCAGGCACTCCTGGTGAATTGTAGGCGGGGTGGTGCAATTAAACACTTCGTTTTTAAAAGGAAAATTCTTTTACTGACTTGACCAGATTTTTGTCTTTATAGCTATCTCATTGTTGGGACAAACTTATACACTCTTCTGAATAGGAGGAAATAAGTAAGTGAATAACACAGGGAACATTATGATGCAAAGGTAAATCTTCATTTTAGCATGGTAGATTTTGGTTTGATGTTTTCATCAGTTTTTCTTTTTCTTTTTTGGTTTTTTGTTTTTGTTTTTGGTTTTGGTTTTTTTTTGTTTTTTGTTTTTTTGTGTTTTTGTTTTTTTGGTATTTTAGGGAAGGTTTTAGGGTGATCTGCCTGTTTACAGCCTCCTAAGAGCTGGGATTACAGGAGCACCGTCACCACGCCCAGTCTCAATCACTGTCTCAGTGTGCCCTGGGGGTGGGCTGGCACTGCAGACCTGGAGATCAAACCCCAAGGGCCCTTGCACCTACTTGCAGGTGCTTTAATCCACTGAGCTATTTGGTTGGTTTGTTTGTTTGTTTTGTTGGGTTTTTTGTTTGTTTATTTTTTTCTTTTTGAGGAACTGTGGATTGAACACAGGCCCATGCACTTGCCAGGCAAGAGCTTATTCTATCTACTAAGTTATCTCCTTGGCCCCCCACTGAGCCATTTGGCTGGTCCTTTTGTTTTTGTTTTTGAGACAAGTTCTCCCCGTGATGTAGTTCAGGCTGGCAGTTCAGCTCCCTTCCTAGCCCAGGCTGGCCTCAAACTTGCACCAATGCTCCTGCCTCAGCCTCCCACGTGCTGGGATTCTGGGCCGTTCTGTGGCACCATTACAGAATGGCTGGCTAATTGTATTTCTCAAAAATAGTGTGTATGTGGAGGGAGGGAGAGGGCCATAAACCCAAAGAAAATAAACCATAAAAATAAACCAGGAAAGGGCTTATCTCCTCACTTACATTTACTTGGCAGCCAGGTGTTAGTTTTCATCATACGCTTAGCTAATCAATAACCCCATCAAGAGGACTGGAGGGTTAGTACTTCCTTTTTCTTTAATAGGTTTGAGTTTGTGCCAGTGTGACTGTATTCTGCTTGTTTGATATTTCTAGCCAGTTTCTCTTAATACTTATATTTGCTGTTTATTCGAACATGAGCCGTTTTCAAAATCTAACCGAGTGTTCCGAACGTGTGGCTTAGGTCCGTGTGTCTGAGCTCAGTGAATGTTCATGCAGTGACACTGTGACTAGGACTGGCTGAGCCACGCAGAGCGGCTTGGGGGACACGGGCCCGCGTGTGTCACCGCAGCACATTGGATTTGATGTCTTTCTCACGATGGGGTGGACTAAGACGTCTCTGCTGGATCTTCTGGTCTTGTTTTTTTTTTTTTTAATCAGGGATGCTGCATCTACCGAGTCGCTGGCCCAGAGAAACACCTGTTAGATGTTTGTTAAACGACTGGATTCTGGGTAATGATTGCTGAGGATTATCAGCAAGTATCTGGATTACGAGTGCTGTAACTGAGAAACAGAACTGAGAGCAGAGGCAGGTTAAGTACTAAGCTAAAGAGCTTACCTGAAATTCAGAAGCCTGATACACTGCCCACATTCTTTTGTAGTCTGTGTAGTCATACAGACTGTTAGAATTTTTTCTGTCAGGTATTTGATTCTACACCCTACAGTTAAAGAATAGAAAGTATAAAGTATGAAAAGCAAACAATAGCTGAAAGTGAACCAAATGAGCTGATATTCTGTTTTTCAACCACTGGGTGCTCTGCCACAGCCATCCACCCAGAAGGAAAATCCTTTGAGGAAAGTGATTTATTTTTAATCTGGGAATTTGAAAAGATATTCAAAGGAAGACACTTTGTATTATAGTGAACTGTGTTTTTAAAGAGCTTGGAACATCTAAGGCTCCAGTAAGTCTGTTTCTTTAATTGAATTTATAATGCTCTTCTGGCCAGGAATTAGTAAGATTTAGTTAGCTTCACGGCCAGCTTAAATAGTAGAGAAGCACAAAAGTTTAGCGCTAACAGAAATCCTAGTTGAGTCTCTGTTCCTCAGTAGTCTCACCCACATGCCTTAGAATTCATTTTCACTTACACAGTGCA